TTTTTTTTTTTTTTTCATTTTTCTTGTTTGATCTCTATGATATAATATATGGTAATTTAAAACTTGAAAATATTAAAGTCAAGATACAACAAGTTTATATGAAAAATGGCATAAATTATACCTATTTTGAATTTGGCAAGCGCTTTCTTAAATGCAAAAAAATGTTTTATAGGTGCTGAGATTAACGTTAGGTTGGTAAAATGTATGCAAGCAAGACTACCTTTGATATTGAATTGCCTTATTTTTTCTTATAACTATTAACTAACTTTTCCAAAATGAAGGATTCTATTATATATATGCAAGCCCAAGTTGAACATGTCTTTAGAATTTTGCTTATCATGAGCGGAAAATTACTTTGCTTCGTTGACAGCATTGAACAAAGAAATTGGTAGGGAGATCCGCCTTTTCAAGTTATTAGCTACACAGGTTTTTTGGAATGGTGGATCTATGATTATTTATAGCTGCATCTTCAGGAAGCAATAACCCTAGTGTACCTTTTCCTTTACGGCACATACAAGGTCAATGTCATGTTCATGATCTCCACCAATTCAATCATCTTGGAAGGCACTCTTTTCTATTTTAGTTTCAACAAAGAGGATCCAATCAATGCTAGTATCCAATGAATATTGTGGAAAGGTCGCCTCATTATTGGAAATAATAGGCAGAACTTTTCTTCAACTGCTTGGGGCTGTGATTGGTATCTTTTAGATATTTCGAATAATTATACTACCATTCTTTTATGGAACATATATGTCGTTTGTTGTTGTTGTTATTTTACAAGATAAAACAGGACATGAATTAAGAGTTCTCTATTTTCACTTGTACAGTAAGTATTATCTATTAATAAAATGTTCAATGAAGACACGAATTTAGCAAGTGAATATAGAAGAGGATTTTCTTGTAGAAATTAAAATACATATCATTATATGAGATTAATGTTTATAAGACGAATTTCTAAAATATTAGGAGAAAAAAAATTTAAAATTATATCATTTTAATAAACTCTCATTGAAAAATAATAAAATAACTATTCTTATATATATACAAAAAAATATAATTATCTTTAATAGATAGAATAAAAAGTAAATAAATTTCAACTATTGAAAGTAAAACGATGCATAATCAAAATTTTATATAAATATAACGTATAAAATTTATATATGAGTAGATCTCTACTCTCATTTTATATATATACACATATATTATGAGATTAGTAAGCCAGACCTCCAAAAAATTAAGTAAAAAAAAAAAACCTCAAAACTATATCATTTTTAATAAAGTTTCATGATAAAATAGTAAAATAATATCATTTTTATTTAAAAAGCATTTTATTTTAGTCATTTTTAATGTGAATTTTTTTGAAAAATAATATAGTTTTAAAATATTTTTTTGCTTTTATTATTTTTTAAAAAGTTTGGCAACCATAGATATATTTTACAAATATATTTTCTAAAACAATACATTTTACTAAAACGATTTTTTTTTCATAGGTCCATTCTAATTTTAGTTTCAACAAAGAGGATCCAATCAATTCTAGAATCCAGCGCACAACGTGCAGAGGTGGCCTCATTATTGGAAATAATAAGCATAATGACTCTGCAACGACTTGGTGGTGTGCTTGGGATCCTTCTAGATATTTGGAATAATTACTACCATTTATGGAACAAGTATATGTTGTTGTCACTATTGTTATTCTTTCTCTTAAAACAAGACATGAATTGACTGTCCTAAATATGAATTATGTAGTTTCAGTCATCCAATACTGTACTCCTTCTGTTTAACTTTACTTAGGTTACTTTTTTTTTTTCTTGATAAAATAAGGATATAATGATTAATTTAATAAAATTTTAGTTTTATTCCTAAATAACTACTTGCATTGTCCTAATAACTATCATTGTTTGACTTTTTCTTTGTATGGAGGATATGAATAAAATTTATGTATTTAATCATATTATCTACTATCTTTAAAAAAGAGATAAAGGTTATGGATAGATCTTTGTGATGGGTAATGATATGTGAACAATTTTTTTTTAAAATTTATATAATTTTTATATTTTATTAAAATATTTAAGTTCCAACTGAATCTGTGAACTTATCCACTCGCCTGGGCTTGGTGGAGGTACATGACTTCTATCTTACGCATAATTTGAAACCTATGTTTACTTCACTTTAAATAAAGGACGAGTATTGTAAATTTGTAATATTTAAATAAAAGTGAGCAGCCTTTTCCATTTTGGTTTATAATGGTAGGAACAACATAAACATTTGAATGAGGAGAACACCGCACTCAAAGAATGCATGGAAAATATTGAATGACAGATTGAGTTACAAAATTGTAAGGATATATTTGTTTAATTAGTTCTTGCCTCTTCT